TGTGTTGGGATCCTGTTGATACAAACGGAGCTTGGAAATCAGAGCTTGGAAACAGATGGTAAATGAGATTCAGCGTTAAGCATGTGCAGACAGTTCAGATCCAGTGTGTGCTCAAGTTTTGTCATCCAAGATGGTAGTTTGGAGCTAAATCGACATGTGCCTCTTGATTGAAATATTGATCTTATTACTGAACAAGAAGGAACTCTAAGCTGCAGAGAGAAAAAAAAAAGAGGAACCAGCGTGGGGAAAGGAGAGGAATTTCTGGCTATTTGAAGGAAGGTTACCATGAAGACTCCTTGGATCAGAGAGACCTGGCCAAAAGTGAAGGATCTGGCCATTCAGAGGCCTGCAGAGACTGGACAGCAGATGGGACAGAAAAGGTAGGAAAGAAAGGACAGCAGGCAGGGACTATCAGATAATGCTGAGGTTAGAGTGGGGACACAACTAGAGTCAAGGGCATCGTGCTCTGAGTACCTCCTATGAGACACACACATTCTCTCCTTATTCTCTGACATGCTTCTGTGGAAACCCCATGGGATGACTATAATTCTAATTTGTCTGGAATGGTCTCTGGGCACCTGTTGTCCTGGCATAATTAATCGCAGAGTCGTTCTTCACCCTCAAAAAAGTCCTAGTTTGGATGATAAATAATGCGATGTACACTCTAGTAATAGATATGAAACATTCCATTTTTCAGATAAAGTAACTGAGTTTCAGAAAAGCAGTCTCTCTTGCCCCCAGTCACAAAGCCAGGGATGAGGATCAGATTTGAAGCCAGATTCTGCTTATCTGAGTCATGGTTATCTTGTGGATAAAAGGGTCTCTCTCATTCAGAAGCCCACATCTGCCCCTGAACAGCAGTGGGTATGGTGAAAAAGGCAAAAGCATTTTTAAAAAGCTTGGTTTTTTTTCTTTTTCTTTCTTTTTAAACTTAGTTGTTACCTGAGACTTACCGTAGATTGTCAGCAAATGTTTCATAAACATATATTTTTCTTCAGTACTTAAAGTTGGACAAATGCAAATATTTTGGAGAAGACACATTTTAATTGTGATGGTGTTTTCACATATCCTTAGGGAGCTATTTCTTGAGTTAAAATAAAGCACCAAGCACACTTCCTGCTCACTTGCCAAAATCTAGCATCAAACATCTCATCACCTATAAATGTGGCCTCAGTCCTCACCTCCTGTTCCCATCCATCTCTCCTGCAGAGAGACAGGAGCTGGAACTTCATAAGAGACTAAGCTTCCACTGTAAGCTGAGTTGGCATTTTTATCATCCCTGGGCATCCCTGCCAGGCTATTAACTAAAGAGTCTTAAGGACAACAAACCAAGGGCGATCTGTGTCTCCCTGGCACTTCTCCCTGCCACCACAGCAGACGGTGAATAAATCAGAGAAAAGTAGCTCAAACTCAACTTGGCAGGGTTAGCCTCAGGAGGAGACTGAACTGATCCCACCAGCAATCTAGCTCAGCCTCCAAAGAATGATGATTTATAGCATAATGTTCTCAAATACCCCCTTTCTTTAGAAAAATTTCCAGTAACCTTTTGAAAAGAAGAGGCAGTCACAGAATTGGCTGAGAGTGAAAGTGTCAATTGCCTGGTCAGCCATTCTTGGTACCATTAAATTTTAAAAAAGAAAAGGAAATAAAAAAACTTCAAGCCAGTAACTCCAAAATCAGTGCTCATAGCTTAAATTTTTTAAAAAAGTTCCTCCACCTACCCTCATCATGCCTTGTGTTCTTCCCTGGGCCAGCTTCAAAATGCTTTGACCAACAAGACAGACAGTCTCCAAATATTGAAAGTTAAGCCCCATTGCATCTATTCTCAAATGTAAACCTGAGAAGTATTAGTTCAGAGGTCTGAATCTATGATGCACTTACTCAATATCACAGGAATGGTAAACAAGTAGCATGAAGAATAATTTTCCAAAAGGTGGCATCCAACCTGCACAGACTGCTCCTTGCCCACCAGTAAGTTTTGATCTGTAGTAAATTTCTGAACAATGAGGTATCCTTATTTTTTGCATTTTATCCTTTTAATGATTTTCTCCTAAATGAGTAAATATTCAACCTGGGCGAAGGGCTGCTTGATTGATAAGAAAACTGCATAAAATTAGAAGACTGCATCAGATTGGCTCTAAGTATCCCATTATTCTGTTATATTATTTTGTTGGAGAAAAATGCCTTAAGAACTGGTTGGTGTGCTTCCTCCAAGAAATTACCCCTTGAAATGGGAAATGCTAATGGATAAAGTTTCATTAGCTAGTTTGGGGAAAGAAGGAACAGAAAGATACAGGGAGACATGCTGAGCCTTTATTGCTGCTCTAGTTAAATGAGCCCAAAATCAATAGTTCATTTAAAGTACAATGCAGTTTCTTTTGTATCTTGGACTTTTTAAAAACTCCTACTAGTGCATTCCACAATTTCTTGCACATAACAAATTGTGTATATATCAAATAAGAGGTAATTGTAAGAAACACAAAATAGTTACCTAATAGAGTTTAAATAAAGTTCATTTTTAAATAATGCAGCCTTTGAAAACACTACAAATTGAGAGATAACAATATAGCAGGCCAATAAGAGTCTTTTGTTTCTGATCAGTACCATGGATTTAAAAGTTCTTTCAAATATCATCTTTTAAAAGCAGGGTGGAGATTTAACAGGTTTTAGTAACTGGGTGAATAAAATAGATCAGACGTTGGATGTGCAAGGCTTCTAGTAGAGTGCTTGCCTAGCGTGTATGAAGCCATGGGTTCAATCACCAGAACTGCAAACAATAGATAAATAAATAAATAGTCAAGATTCTACATATCAGACTCTTTCATCTCTTTTTATCTCTTTCATTTCATCCTTGGATGCCACTGTGGTCCTTACCTGACTGTAGGCACTCAAAACCAGGGGAGATCTGGAGACTTATATGTTAAATGAGATTTTATATGAGTCAATGTGCAAAAGTATCAAAATTATGAAAATTTAAAGAATCGGTGTTATTATAGATTTCTCCTGTCATTAAACTAGTTTTATCCCAAATTGTTCTTCCATGCCTAAATTAATCAGCATGTATTTTTCTGGCACAAAGCCATGTATTCTGTGCCAGCCATCATTCTAATACATATAATGGAGCCCCTGCTGGCTAATCAATAGGAAAGGTATAGAGAAAAAAACTAGACTCTCCATTGTAAGTTTAACAGAAACCAGCATGAAGTGGAGGGTCAGGGAAGGTGCCTTCAGTTTGGGATGTGGTGGGCTCAAAGCATCATCAAACTACGGAGCAAAGATTTCCAGGGAAATTGAAAAGGAGATACTGACTCAAGGGCAAAAAGACGGGAGTCATTAGACTGAAGATAATAAGTAAAGTGGTGGGAAGATGGAACCACTTTCTAAAGAACAGGAATTGGGTCTGAATCATCTGTCTATCCTCTGATGCCGGTTACCGCTGACACACACGAGGCACCTGGTACGTAGGCATGAGCTTATTGTTATCTTTGTGCAATGGTTGAATGAGTGGGTAATAAAGAGGGTTCATTGGTAAACCTCCTAATGGAACACTGAGGCTGTAGGTGAGAAAGAGGACAGGGCTGAAGATGGAAAGACATCATTCTTCTGTGTATAGCTGACAGTGGAAGTTAGGAAGAGGCTCAAAAGGCAGAGAAGAATCAAGCATTTCAACCCACAGGTTTAAGGAAAGAGGACCATGTGGAAACAGAAATAGAAACACACACACATCAAAAAAAAAAGAAAGAAAATACAAAAAGAAATAGATGATTGACAAACTGGATAGTTTAATGTGACAGAGGTCAAAGCTGGAGATACATTTAATAAGGACAATGATGATAATGGTTAATATTTCTCCTGTGATTACTGTGTACCAGGGACACTGCTAAGAACTGTAAGTATATTATTCTATAAAACATATGTGCATTATCTCATATACTAAAAACAATCTTATGAAAAAGGTACTGCTAGTATTCCAATTTTATAAATGGTAACTATCTCAGGCTAAGTAGCACACCAGGAGTGATCCAGCTCAACACATCACCAAGCCAACTCTAGAACCCATTTTTTTTTGTCTGGCTCCAGAGCCTCTAGAAATCTCCGCCTCTCTAATGAGAAATTATGAGTATCAAATACAGCAGAGAGGTCTGAGGCACTAAGAACACATGCATTCACACACTCTTATGTGCACACACGTTCTCACACACACGCTAACTCACATACTCACACACAAACACATAGACTGACATGTAGACATGCACAGTCATTTGATTTTGAGCAAAGAGATCATCAATGTTCAATGAGAGAGACATTTTCACTCCAGTGGTGGAGGAAAAAAAGTGATTCTTACAAATACAGGGAATGGACAGAGCAAAAATGAAGGTAATATGTGAGTTTACTGTTAGGAAACAACAACAACAAAATGGTAAGGGAATTCAGGTGCTCCTAAATTCATTATCATTTATTATCAAAGCATAGCTAAAAAAGAAAGTCACATTGTAACGGGAGGCAAAGCAGCTTATAGAAAGATGAGTTGGGTATATGCACACATCCTTGTATATACTTTTTCACCTCTGAACAGACACAAAGCCTAATGCTCTACAATAAGGACAAGCAAAGTCATACCTAGTTTTGTTGTTTGTTTTCTGAGGGACAAACCTGATGGTCACTTGGTTTTTTTATAGTCCAGGAGCTAAGAATGCTTTTTATCCTTTATAATGGTTTAAAATGGTTTTAATGGTTAAAACATATGCCAAATGCAAGATATTATTTTTTTGACAAGTAAAAATTACACAATTTCAAATTTTCGTGTCCACAAAATAAAATTTATTGACAAACAGCCATACCTTTTCCTTATGCATTATCTACAGCTGCTGCCCCATCACACTGGCAGAGTTGAGACGTTTTGATAGAGACTTTAGGGCCTGTCAAGCATAAGATATTTGGTGTCTGGCCCTCAATTGTTTTAAATTTGAATATACATTTCAAAGGAAATGGAATCCTACCTGGCAACGGAGCTTTATTAGTTCTCGCAATGGGCACTTCTTTCCAAACATCGCCATCATTTTCATCCTCACCTATCCAGGAATCAACTGGTAAACAAAATAGCTCCTGTGTGACCAAATTTTCCAGTCTCACCTCTTCCAGATACCACCTTGGATCCTTTCCACTGTTGTCATGGCCAATTCGTATTTTATAGATTTCACCAACATCTTTAAGATTAATCTGCAACATAAAGGTAAAAAGGAAAATAAAAAAATCTTGCATCTCTGATTTCAATTTTCCAGTTCCAAATTCATACTTAGATTTGAATTCAATTTTGAACTCAAGACCTACTTTGTTGTCACATACACTCTTACTGATTAATTTTGTTAGAACTAGTCACTTGTAACACCATGAAATGATATTGTGTATAGTCAAGCATGAATCCATTGACCGTGGACCAACCAACAGATTACTAGGCATGGTGCCACATGCCTGCAATTTCAATAACTCAGGAGTCTGAGGCAGGAGGATCACAAGTTCAAAGCCATCTTCAGAAACTTAGTGAGGCCATAAGCAACTTAGCAAGACCCTCTCTCAAAACAAAAAATTTAAAAGGGCTGGGGATGTGGCTCGGTGGTTAAAAAAAAAAAAACAGTAGATTAAATTCAGCTAAATTCAGCTAGTCCTCATTACATCATTCCTTAACAACATATTGCAAAGTAAATGTTTTATTTTTTTATTGATACACAATTCTTACTGAGTAGTGAGGCCTAAAGAATAAAATAATCTAACTCTCCAGTGTTTATAATATTTTCCACGAAGGTGAGATCCTGAGGAACAGACACCATTTGTTCCCCTAGATTTAAACTAGCGTTAACCATGCAGCCCTGAAACACACCCAATTTGAATTGGAAAGACTGTGGTTTTGCAACAATGTTGGCAATGGGATCTTACCCCTTGGCATCCTCCCCCACATCATCTAATCAACTGCTATAGTAAATATTCTAGTGTGTTATTCACTATCCAGAATAGGAAATGTTTTTCTTTTGAAAATTCCTACAGGGGTCTTATGAAAAATAATGGATCGATTATATACTGCACTAGTTTTCCATTTCTGCCATAAGAAAAAAATTATCACAAAGTTAATAACTTAAAACCAATCCATCTATGGTCTCCAGATTTCACGAGGCAGAATTCAGGCACTGTATGGATGAGCTCAGCCCTCTGCATATGGCCTCACAAGCAAAGATCAAGGTGTTGGCCAGGCTGGGCTCCTCTTGGGAGCCTTTGGGAAAGATTCTCCTTCAAAGCTTATTTGGGTTCTTGGCGGAATCCAGCTCCATGAGGTCGGAGCACTGAAGTCCCTGGTTCCTTTTCACATGCCACTCTTTATCTCCAAGTCAACAGGGCACATCAAACCCTTTTCATGTGTGAAATCTCTGCCTTTTCCCACTGCTACAAGGAAAAGAAAAATGTTCATTTCTAGAGGCGCCTGTGGTTTAAATGATACCCACTTGGGTAAACCAGGTTCAGCTCCCTATTTTAAGGTTACCTGACTAGTAACTTACATCTGTAAAATTATTTTGCCATGAAGCCTAACATTCATAGGAGGAACACCAGAGCTAAAGATCATAAAGGCTCAAGTTCTTACTGCTACATACTATCATCAGAGACAGTTTGAACTGCCTTCTGGTATTTTGTCATCCTGCCACCACCACCACCACCCACAACATCTGTTCTCCCCTTTGATATTATCATAAACGTTCACGTCACCCCCAGGAAGTTGCTCCAGAGCTTGTGCAGATCTGCCACCCATTCTCTACTAAAATATTTTTATTGGTAATATAATCTTGGGCTACTGTATTGGTGACAAACATTCTGAATAAATTTTCTGTCCTGTAGCCAAAATGCTTTCTGTCAGGATACATAGGGACAGATTTTGACAGTCAAGTTACAGAGTTGGGCCTTCCTATTATATCTAGAACAACACAGTGTTAGAAATTCTCCCATGTAGAATCATCTTAACATGATGCTTAGTATAGGTAAGTGGACTCCTAAAATCCTTCCCAAAATTGCAGATAATAGAAATAGGACAGAAAACAGACTATGCCCCAACATAGACCCAAAGGCAAAATAGTATGGGAGTAAGAACCCCGGGTTTTTTATATTTTGTTTTTTTTTATTAGTTCTAATTAGGTATACATGACTGTAGAAGGCTCTTCAATTCATTGTACACAAATGGAGCAGAATTTTTCACTTCTCTGGTTGTACATGAAGTAGAGTCACAACATTCCTGCAATCATACATGTACCTAGGATAATTATGTCTGTCTCAGTCCATTATTTTTCCTACCCCTGTCCCCTTCTCCTTTACCCCATCCAGAGTTCCTCTACTTATCCCATGCCCACCCCCCAGTATGGATTAGCAACCATTTATCAGAGAAAACATTTGGCCCCTGGTTTTGGGGGATTGGCTTCTTTCACTTAGCATGATGTTGCCCAGTTCCATATATTTACCTGCAAATGCAAGAATTTTATTCTCTTTTAATACTGGGTAATATTGCATTGTGTTTATGTACCACAGTTTCTTTATCCATTCATCATTTGAAGGGCATATGGGTTGGTTCCACAGTTTTGCTAATGTGAATTGAGCTGCTATAAACATTGAAGTGGCTGTGTCACTGTAGTATGCCATTTTTAAGTTCTTTTGGTATAGACCAAGGAGTGAGATAGCTGGGTCAAATGGTGGTTCCATTCCAAGTTTTCTAAGGAAGCTCCATACTGCTTTACAGAATGTTGGCACCAATTTGCAGTCCCACCAACAATGTATGAGTGTGCCTTTTCCCTTACATCCTCACCAACACTTATTATTGCTGGTATTCTTGATAACTGCCATTCATTCTGTCGGGATTGAGATAAAAATCTTAGTTTTGATTTACATTTCTCTAATAGTTAGAGATATTGAACATTTTTTCATATATTTGTTGATCAATTGTATATCTTCTTCTGAGTAGTGTCTGTTCAACCCTTTAGCCCATTTATTGGTTGGGTTGTTTGTTTTTGTTTTGTTTTGTTTGGTGTTAAGTTTTTTGAGTTCTTAATATATCCTGGAGATTAAAGCTCTATTCAATGTGTGTGTGGCAAAAAATTTGCTCCCAAAATGTAGGCTCTCTCTTCATTGATTGTTTCTTTTGTTGAGAAGAAGCTTTTTAGTTTTAATTCATCCCATTTATTGATTCTTGATTTTATTTCTTGCACTACAGGAGTCTCGTTAAGGAAGTCGAGGCCTAATCTGACATGATGAAGATTGGGCCTACTTTTTCTTCTATTAAGCATAGTGTCTCTGAAGAATTCCAGTTTTGATATCAGACATACCTGGTTTTGAAAGTTCCTTCTGCCCTTGCAGCTCTGCAAGCAACAAGTTTCTCAACCTTTTAAAGCTTCAGTGGCTTAATCTGAACACAGGATGAGTATCCCTAATTCAAGAATCCAAAATCTGAATTGCTCTAAAATCCAAAATATTTTGAGTATTGACATGACCCCATGAGTGAGAAATTTCACACCTTGAAACATTGTTTCTTATACAAAATTATTAAAAATGCTGAATAAAGTTATTATCTTCTGGCTATATATAAGGTATACCTATAAGGTAAATATTAAACTAATAAATTTCATGTTTAGACTTGGATATCATCCTCCCATTATGTACATACAAATATTCCAAAATCTGAAATATTTCTGATCCAAAGCATTTCAGACAAAGGATACTCAGCCTATAGTACCAATCTTATAAAATACTACAGGGCTCAATAGCATTAGCAGCTATTATTTTGTCAATCAGAATTTTGTTCTAATAGCAAAGAAAAATGTCTAAAGCTGCATATTCTAAAAATGGGAGAGAAGATTGGTACAGTGCTCACAGGAGGAAATGAACCTATTATTTGGCTATCATAAGTTAAAGAAAAAATTAATAAACCCTATCTAAAACTGCTGATTAAATATTTGTTAATGCTAACTGAATGATGCCAGGGTACAGATATTACATTGCTCATCCACCAGGCATACCTGGGTCAGCCAATTAAAACCAGAATGCAAATGACCACTGCTCCTAAGTGACTTTGAGTTTTTTAGGCAATCTGGTTTGGAATTTTTAGTTCTGGTTTAATACAGTCAACCTGAATCACCTCAGCCTAAATCAAATAAAAATGTAATGTCAAAAATTGTTCTTGTACCACATAACTGTTTTTAGTTTCTGTATTTAACTTCCTACATTGGAAAAAAAAAGGACAGCAACTCTAAAATGTAGGATAGCTTTCATCATAAAGATGGACCACACCATGTCTCAGCAATTCTCCACATAAAGAATGATACTTAAAGTAGGGCACAGGCACAGATTAAAATAAAATTGTTTTCAACCTGAGGACCAAAGGGACGTATGGACCCAGAGACACAGGGGCAGAAATAGAAAGCCAGAGGAATCTGGAAGTACAGTTCATTCCCATTGTTCTCATGTCACTACTGAAAGTTGAAATATACCATTAAATTCCTACTATAGAACCAGAACATGAAGACAAAAAAAAAAAATGCTATTGAAAACTGTCTGATTTAGGTAGTTGAAATTCTTAACAAAAAAGGGATTGATTCTTTACTGAATTTAAGGAAGCAAATAAAGCACTTTGTTTATAACAGTTTTAGATAGTTCTGCTTATTACATGTACTATGTTGTATATTATTCGTATATATATTACACATTCAAGAGTGTTGTTAATGTGTTGTGAGTAGATTAAACCACTTTTAACATTTAATAAGTTCATTACAAATGAACCCTATGTAAGAATATAGAAATTAAAAAAAAAAAACCAGGCCATGTGTGGTGGTTCACACCTGTAATCCCAGTGGCTTGGGAGGCTGAGGCAGGAGGATCTTGAGCTCAAAGCCAGTCTCAGCAACTTAAGGAGGCCCTAAGCAACTGTCTCAAAATAAAAAACATTGGGGCTGGGGTGGTGGCTCAGCGGTGGAGTGCTGGAGTGCTCGCCTCGCATGTGCGAGACCCTGGGTTCGATCCTCAGCACCACATAAAAATAAATAAGTGACATAAAGGTATTGTGTCCAACTTACAACTAAAAAAATAAATATTTAATAAATAAATAAATAAATAAATAAATAAAATAAAAATTAAGAAAAAAAATTTAAATGGCAAAGGATGTGGTTACAGGTTAAGTGTCCCTGGGTTCAATCCCT